GGAAACATTCTCATTAAAATTAGGAACCAGACAGGGCTGTCCACTAACTCCACTCCTTTTCAATATAGTGCTTGAAACTCTTGCTAGAGCAATAAGGCAAGAGAAGGAAATTAAAGGAGTACCAATTAGAAAAGAAGAGGTCAAACTACCCTATTTGCAGATGATAGTATATATACGAGATCCCAAAAATTCCATTAGAAAACTGTTAGAATTGATTAATGCTTTCAGTAAAGTGGCAGGATACAAAATCAACTTACAAAAATTAGTAGCCTTTCTATATACCAATAACAAGCAATCAGAAAAAGCACTAGAGGAAACCCTCCCATTCTCAATAGCCTCAAAAACCATAAAATATTTAGGAATAAACCTAACCAAAAACATTAACGATCTCTACAATGAAAATTTCAAAACTCTAAAGAAAGAGACAGAGGAAAGCACTAGGAGAAAGACCTACCATGCCCATGGATTGGTAGAATCAATATTGTGAAAATGACCATTTTACCAAAAGCAATTTATAACTTCAGTGCAATCCCAATCAAAATGCCCATGACATTCTTCACAGACCTTGACAAAATCATCCTAAAACTCATATGGAATCACAAAAGACCCCAGATAGCCAAAACAATCTTGGGCAAAAAAGAACAATGCTTGGGGGATCACCATACCAGATCTCAGATTATATTACAGAGTCACAGTCATAAAAACAGCATGGTACTGGCACAAAAATAGAAACGTAGATCAATGGAACAAAATAGAAGACCCAAACATGAGTTCATATAATTTCAGGCACCTGATATTTGACAAAGATGCAAAGAACACACAATGGAGGAAAGACAGCATCTTCAACAAATGGTGCTGGCAAAACTTGATCTCCACCTGGGGAAAAATGAAACTTGACTCTTCTTTCACCCTGCACAAAAGTCAACTCCAAATGGATCAAAAACCTCAATATAAAACCTGAAACTTGGAAACTGCTAGAAAAAAAAACATAGGCAGCACCCTCCAAGATACAGGCACAGGAAAGGACTTTCTAAGTCAAACACCAGCTGCTCAGGCTCTAAGGTCAACAATCAGTAAGTGGGACCTCATTAAATTATAACGTTTCTGGACAGCAAAAGAAATAACCAAGGAAGGTAAGAGGAAACCCACTGAGTGGGAGAAAATCTTCACCAGATACACATCCAACAGAGGATTAATAACCAGTATATACAAAAAATTTAAAAAAGAAAGAAAGAAGACGATAAACTACCCAATAAAAAGATGGGTGATAGGCCTAAACAGAGAGTTCTCAAGTGAAGAAAGAAAAATGGCTAAGAAGCACCTTAGAAAGTGCTCAACATCCTTAGTAATTAGAGAAATGCAAATCAAAAGCACTTTAAGATTTCATCTTACCGCAGTCAGATTGGCCAACATCAAGAGAAGAAAGACTCCAAATGTTGGAGAGGATGTGGAGAAGGGGGAATGCTCATTCACTGCTGGTGGGAATGCAAACTTGTGCAACCTCTATGGAAAACAGTGTGGAGAACCCTCAAAAAATTAAAGTTAACCAACCATATGACCCAGTGATACTGCTCCTTGGCATATACCCAAAGAACTCATCGTACTGTAGAGAAACCTGTACATCCGTGTTTGTTGCTGCTCTCTTCACAATAGCTAAGAAATGGAAACAACCTAAATGTCCCTCAACTGAGGAATGGTTAATGAAAATGTGGTACATCTATTCAATGGCGTTCTACTCAGCAGTAAGAAAAGACGAAATTAGGAAATGTGCAGGAAAATGGATGGAGCTAGTGAGTGTTATACTAAGTGAAGTAACACAAACACAGAAAAGCAAGCAACGTATGTTCTCCCTTATTCATGGATTATAGCACCAATCCTTTACATGTGAGTATATAAATTCTGAAGTAACACAAGAAGCCAGGTAAAGGCAAAGGATAAATCATGGTAAAGGAAAAGAAACCACCGGAAAGGGAGATAGTGGGAACAGATGCTACCTGAGGGAGGTGGAAAAATTGTGAGGAATTGGCATGGAGAAGAGGAGGGAGGGACATGCAAGGGGCCATAGTGTGGGGGAGGGAGGGAAGTCAGAAATGGAAGGATGGCGGGAGTTGGGAGGTATTGGGGAGAGGGTGGGAATGGTGGGGCACTGTGACTGGGAAGGGAGGGGGAAGGGATGCTGGATGGGAGAAAAAAAGTAGAGATGAGTGAATCTCGGGGGGCTAGGAAACCTAGAGGGAAAAGTGATGCCCTAGAAACCCTATGAGAAATGCACATAGAGTGTCTGAACATTAATGCATATGGATACCTAGGAGCTGTCTGGAAGGCAATGCAGTGTGAGATAGAAGAGACCTCCATGCCATACAGCACTCATCAAAGAAGCTTCTTTTTCAACAGGTGGAGGCTACTGCAGAGTTGCACATCTGGTCAGGCACAGAGAACACACACTGGGGGATATCCAGTACTAGATGACACATCTGCAGACAAATCTCTACAACCATGGCTCATGAAACATAGTGAAATAAGGGGTAGAGAGAGGGCTAATGAACCCTTCAGCTCTCACCAGTGAGGCTTCCATGTGCAGCAGAGTGTGTTACACACAGAAGGCCTCAACTGGCCATGTTTTGGAGAACAAGAAACTGTAGAGTGTATGATGGGACTCCTTTATGGAAACTCACCCACCCACAGCTCAGGGACCATTGTGGAAGAGGAGGTGGAAAGATCGTAAGAGCCAGTGCTGGTTAATGAACTCATGAGGTGGAGGTTTCCAGGCCACTGGAGACTTATTCATGAGAGCCTGTAGCAGTGGTGACATCCAATGCAGGACCCATGTCAGCTCAATCAAATAAGGGCCCAAAGGGGAGGTGATAAATAGGTGGTAGGTCAACACTAGCTCAAGAACTATTTAAGACTGGTTACTGCTGGGTGAGGGTAAGCATGACTTGCATATGACCACTGGATGGGCTGACTAGACTCCAGTGGACGCATTGGCACTGAAGGACATTTGAGCACAAACGGCTGAATGAATAGGACTCAGCATGTATGTACGGCAGAGTGCTTAGGGTTTGGCGTGTGTGTGGTGGGGTGGGGGGAGGCATAGATGGGGGAGAGGGTCTGGAAAATATTGTGTGAGATTTTAAAAGCTCAATAACTTGCATAGTTATAGTCAATAATTTCTCTTCCTCAACTTAAATCTTCACTTTTCTTTTTTAAATATTGTATTTATTATTTTTATTTTATGCGTATGAGTGTATTGCTGGCATGTATGTCAGTGCACCTGTGTCATGCAATGCCCATGGAGATCAGAAAAGGGTGTTGGATTCCCCTGGAACTGGAGTTATGGGTAGTTGTTAGCTGCAGTGTGGGTACTGGGAATAGAACCCAGGTCCTCTGCAAGAGCAGTGAGTGCTCTTAACTGCTGAGCCATCTCTCCAGCCCCAAATCTTCACTGTTCTGTATAGTCAAACCATGACATTAATGCACTCTCCTTTCATGTAGACAAATTATCCATATACTGTGAGCAAGCCCAAAAGACACGGGTGCTACAGAAAAACCTTGGTGAACCACATCGTGTTAAGGAATAGTTCACCCTCTGGGATCACAAAATAAGTCATTGGGAACAAGATTATGCAGGGAGAGGGAGCGAAGAAGATTTGCTCTGTCTTCAAGTCATAATTTGCAAAGCATCTTTTCTTAGCAGTAATAGATAACTGAGATTTGTGGCATTAAACACGGTGGAACAAGCCCAGATTGAGCTATCTATCTGTCTCAACTAAACTAATATCCCTGGACAAGTACCTATGAAAAAATACCATAGCAGTAGGATTGGTGAGGAAAATCAAAACTTGGAGCACAATCAAGTGCTCCTTATGGCTGCAAACCTTAGAGACCTGGTGGTAGCAGGATACGTTTAAATTGTTAAAAGAAGTGTTAGGTCTATCGGAAAAATGCAAAGTAAGCCATTTTCAGTTGAGGAAAAAAAATAAAGCTTCTCCTACTCTTAAGCTTCATGAAGCCCCATATTTATGCCAAAACCTACACGTGAATGCTCACAACTGCCCTAATTCAGGCACAAGTCAAATGTTCCTTAAGTGAGGAATAGATAAATTAACTATGGCATATCCATACAGTAGAATTCTACTCGACAATAAAATACTCAGTTACTAATACATAACAACACAATAGCTGAATCTTAAATACATTATGCAATGCTATGTGAAAGAAGCCAGAATAAGGACTTCAATAGTGTATGATTCCACTTATATAGCATCTGGAAAATACAGGACTATAGGGAGGGACAGCAGATTAACGATCGAAAGGGACTGAAGGTGACAGAAGGGCTTGGCTGCAAATGGATACCTACAATTTTTTTTTCACAGCTATTGTTTCTTGAATGTAGTGATAGTTACGTGTGTCTATGCTTGGGCTAGAACTCAGGACTGTAACCAAAAGAGCGCATTCTACTCCTTCACATACTAAAAAAGCTTACGGAGAATTTGAAATATTTATAAATTTTTCCTAAAGAAATGTTTTTGGCGAGTCAGTTAATCAGATGAACATATGTATTTACAAATAGCAAAGACTTTAATTTAAACTCTATCAGGGAACTTCATTTTAAAACAAGACCAAGTTGGTATTCAAACACTTAGGGAGAAATCCAGAAACGTTTAGAATAGAACACTACCACTCACGTCATCAGTGTACAAACTTCTATGTAAATTTTTGCCAATTACAAAAACTTCTCCAATTCTGCATTATAGATGTGGTTATATAGTCACAGCTTTTACTTCTGACTTGGTTTTTCAAGTGAATATGTACTAAATAAAGATTATAATACATACACAATTATAACTATTATTCACACTAAGGGGAAAAATTAATTCATGCCGTTAAACTACAAGCTCTGCCTTGAGTTTTCTAACACTGACCTAGTGAGTCAATATCTGCTTTATGTGCTGTAGGAACTGGCAGAGTAAAGTGTTAAAGATTCAGTTTTAGCATACCCTGTCAAAGAGTGCGAAAAGTTGTCTCAAGACATCTGAAACAGGTAACTTCAAGTAGTCTGCAAATTCTTCGATCCCAATTCTTCCTCCTTTTGAGGAACTTGCAATAGACGCATATTCATCCAAGTGCTTACGAATGCCATCCCAATCCAATCTACATAGAGAAAGATAAATACATGTCATTAGCTCTCTGTAATTCACATGGGTATTTTATGAACATTATTTTGCTAAAGAAGAATATTTTATACATTAAATTTTTTGGGGGTCTTTTATTTTTTTATTTTGTTTTTTGTTTTGTTTTGTTTTGTTTTGAGACAAGGTCTCCTTGTAGCCCCAGGAGTCCTGGAATTCACTATGTAGACCAGGCTGGCCTTGAACTCACAGAGATCCACCTGCCTCTGCCTCCCAAGTGCTGGGATTAAATGTCCAGCAGTCTTTTTTTGTACATTAAATTTGAAAAGGAAATAAAAACTGGTATTTAAGAGAACATATCAAACATGCTTGCAAGCACTTAATTTTTCAAAGCTTATTAGTTTAAATGACAAAACCCCCAGATGTTGGATGTAAAGTGAACAAAAAGAGCAGAAAATCATCTAGACAGTCAGCTGTAACTTACTGAGTTGTTACATCATCTAGACAGTCAGCTGTAACTTACTGAGTTGTTACATCATCTAGACAGTCAGCTGTAACTTACTGAGTTGTTACATCATCTAGACAGTCAGCTGTAACTTACTGAGTTGTTACATCATCTAGACAGTCAGCTGTAACTTACTGAGTTGTTACATTGTCTAGACAGTCAGCTGTAATTTATTGAGTTGTTACATCGTCTAGACAGTCAGCTGTAACTTACTGAGTTGTTATATCATCTAGACAGTCAGCTGTAACTTACTGAGTTGTTACATCATCTAGACAGTCAGCTGTAACTTGCTGAGTTGTTACATCATCTAGAAAGCCAGCTGTAACTTACTGAGTTGTTACATCATCTGGACAGTCAGCTGTAATTTATTGAGTTGTTACATCATCTAGAAAGTCAGCTATAACACTGAGTTGTTACATCATCTAGAAAGTCAGCTGTAATTTACTGAGTTGTTATGAAAGAAATTGTAAGTCTTTCTTTCAAAAAACTTTCAGGTTGATAATTAATATTCCACAAAATGCTGTAATAGGGTGCTTAATTACACTATACACTTTTCCTGATATTAATTATTAGATATTACTCAGCATGAGAAAATACTGGAAAATATATTGTGTTTCTATTACCTCTTGTTTTTGCTTTGAAGAATTAAATACGTCACTTAGCATACACTTCTGTAAGCAATTTCAGTGATTATATTTCTCAACACCTCAGAATATTGTAAACACAGTATTAAAACAAGAGCAAAATTTGACATCTAGAATATATAAATATTTTCTACATAATTTATCTGAATGATATTTCAATATCAAACTTTGAAGCAGTAACTAGTTTTGCAGCAAACTCCTAGGGAGGATTCCAATAAATTTGTCAAATTCCAAACAAGGAGAACAGAATGAACTACAGTTATTAAAGGGGGGGGGGCAGGAAAGTCACACCTTTTACACCAAATAGCCAAAAGGGAATGGTTTGAATTAGGTCATAAAATCAGAAAGGAGAACTTTTGCCTAAAAATATAGGACATCCAGACCAACATGGGTGGGGCAGGGGATATTGACAAGATGGTTCAGCAGATAAAGGTGCTTGTCACCAAGTCTGGCAACCTGAGTTTGATCCATGGGATCCACATGGTGTAAGGAGATAACTGACTCCTGAAAGTTATCCTCTAACCTCTACTCTGACCTCCACACACTCACTGTGGTATGAATACACACACACACACACACACACACACACACAGTAAATAAATGTAAAAAAATGGTAGTTAAGTATTTAAAAATCAGTGATAGTCAGACTTGACATTATCCAAGTTTTTCACACGTGAGGTTCTGACCAGCACATACTAGTTCCCTTTAATGATGCTGACATTATCGTAAAAAGGTGGCCAGATTGACCATCTACTCTGAGCCTCTTCTGAGTAACAGGGAGCTCTGTATGAACCCACATTTACTGTCTCTTCTTTCCTTCCTGTGACCTATGCATGCACATATCGCTATGTTGATTGTTCTTGACAAAACAAAACTAGATGAGTAAAATGGAAGATACATTCCTGCCTTTCCTAATCAGTACCATCAAGTACCAATAATAAAGCAATAAAACAATAATAAAGCAAAAAAAAAAATAAACATAGGCTCTCACACTTTTTCATACATTCAAAAAGTAATTGGGTTTAGTAATTGTAAAATATACTTACTTCAATTTCCGGCTAATTTTAGTAAATTCTACCAACCCAGCTTCCATAGGCAACGTTAGCTGTCCTGCTGAAATCATCAGTCTACAATCTTCATAGGTATGATCTGTTACTGGTATTCCCAAAGCTCTAAAAGTATTAAGAAGAAAAATGTCAATTCAAAATAAAGCTTTTTCATTAGGCCTGAACTGGTCAACAGGTGACAGTGGACAGAAAAGCATGCATTACTTTTTACACCAGCAGCTATGGCTTTTCTTGCTTTTCTCTAATGCACAGTAGAAACTTTGTCTTTCTAGGGGCTGAAAAGATGGCTCAGCGATTAAGAGCACTGGCTGCTCTTGCAGAGGACTGGAGTACAGCTCCCAGCACCCACAGGGCAGCTAACAACTGTTGTAACTCCAGGGGATCCAGTGCCCTCTTCAGGTCTCTAAAGGCATTGCATGCACATTAGCGCTCTTACATACCTGCAGGCAAAACACTCAGACACATAAAATTAAAATTTAAAAAAAACTTTTAAAACTTGTATCTGTAGGCTTCTGTGTAGCTGATATTTTTAAATAACTTTTATTGAATTTATTATTTGACAGTTTCATGCATATATCTAACATATTTTTATTTATTTTCATTTTA